ATTCCTGTCATCATCTATAATTTCAGATACATTCGACAATAGTTGTTCCATAAAAATTCTGCTTTGTCTTGCTATGTATCCTTTATGGTCTGATTTAATTTGATTTCTTTGTTTCATCAGATCTGTCAAAAGTTTATCTCTTTTATTATTCTTTTCAAAATTCTGACTTCTGACATCTATGTTTTGTTTTTAATTCATTATTGATTTATTCTGTACTATTTACTCCTTTTGATAAATCCTGTTTTCAAAATACTATATTGAGGTTACATCCTTTGGACTACATTTAAAAATTGAGGCTAAATGACAGTCTACTTTTTACTGTTGGCAAATCTCCAGCTGAGCAAGCATTAGTCCACTTCTCACTATAGTCTGAAAGTATGTTCTTCTCACTGTTGTTTCTTCTAGTATCTCTGAAGATGCCTCTTAGAATTGTACTTCAGAATTTTGCTTTTATTTTTAAAAACACTTTTAAAATATTCTGTCTTTGTCTCCCTTTCCTCCCACCTTTGCCAGATATCTAGACTTTATTAGATCTGAGAAATGGAAGGGGCTGGTGAGTGGAGCATCTGGGAAGCACTATGTTGTCATCACACAGAAAAATATCCAGGTGCAGTGGCTTTCATTATTTTGGATGAATCTAGTTGAAACTTGTGCAAATTACCTAGTGTGTAATGTTGGATCAGTCAGGATTCATTTCTGATGAAGGAAGCTGTCTATGAACAATATGAACGGGTAGTTCAATTTTAAATCCACATTCCATGAAATGGGGGCGGGGGGGAACTAGCCCTCCTGCTTAGAATACTGCAGGAGCAATCCTTTGGCATCAGATATGAGTGGAAGGAGCTAGATATCACAGATTGTCTCTTCTATCTCTGGGATGCTGTGAACTTGTGAGCAATGCCAAATGGATTACAAAGACAACGTCATGAAATGGAAAACTATGTAGCTTTCAGTTGAAGGAATAAGATGCCCTTAAGACATGCTAATGCTTTGTAATATGTAATATGTCCAAAACAGGACGCTATACACACTCCTTATGTACCTTTTCTTAACTCTATTGGGAAGAAAGCTGATGCCCTGCTGAATATAGAAATTGGCTAGATATGAAAACTACTGGAGGATGGGAGACTGTCTTGGATATGTTTCAGCATAATTAAAGAAGAGAAAAAATAGCTCAGAGCCACTTGTGTTTAAAATGTTCTAAACTACTATCTGAATAAGAAAAAACATGCAAATATCACTTTAATCTTATATAAAATAATCTTTCCTTCTGCTCTTTAGCACAATGAATTAGGAAGCTAGAAATCCAGAAAACAAAATCTATGAGGAAGTAGTGGTAAATTTGTTAGCAGCTGAAAAGACAAGGGATTTTTTTTCTCTTCTTTTTCATTAATCAGAAGTAAACATCACAGAAAGGAGTAAAAATAGGAATAGCAAAAGTTGGTGTTGCTGGCTTCTATACAACCTGCCAATATTGTAATGAACAGGGCTGGCAACATAAAAATAAGCAGTTTTCTGTGTAGGCAACGCTCTTTACACATGTGTCTGCATAGCGGCATCCAGCAGGGGCATGGGAAAATAACGGAACATAAAGCTGATTCTAAAGAAACAGAAAGTGATGGACACAAGCAAGCAGAACTTAGGTGGACTAAGCTCTCTTTCTTGTGTGCGAGTAAGCTGAATGATATGACTTTGAATCTTTGATGTACCCATCTGCTCTGAGCACTTATAGGTCCACACAAGAAACCCGTGCCCATTGCAGATAAAAGTATCCTGAGAGAGACATGTGTTAAGGTTGTCATTTAGCACATATGATTACTATTCCTTCTACAATTAGAAAAGTCAGGAACTAGTAGTTTTCTTAAGTTACAGTCATAATAAGTTTATTATTTCAGCACTGGAAATTGCTTCTGCATTATTTTTGGAGTAAGTTAATGAAGTGCAAAAATAACTGTAACTGTTTGTATATCTTTGATGTGTAGAGCAAATCTTGATTTGTATGACTACATTAAATTTAGAAATCCAGTTAAAAGCAAAGAGAAATAGGTTATATGTTGCTAAATTTGAGAAAGAATCTAACAAATACACCTTTCCTTGTGAAATTTACCTGTGGTTTCCTGGTGTAAGAGTCTAAATAAATGTAATTCTGGGCTAAGTGGGAGTTGACTCTTACCAAGAAAAACATTTTAGGAATCCTTATTTCAATGCAAATAGAAACAGAGACTAACTTTGAAATGATGTTTCCTGTAATTAAGAAAGAATAGGGCGAGGACAGCTCCTTGCCAAACTCCCCATACTGCACCAACAGTGGATTGCATGTTCTCACTGCATCATCAATGAGGCCGAGGAGCCATATTTGCTGAGGACTCAGGTTCCTGTTCTTTATATGTTTCTTGTGTGTTTATGTCAAAGTTATCAATGCTATTGAAAGGTGAGAGCTTAACAGGGGTGGGTATGGTGCATAGTTGTAATTTATGTTCCCTTGCTCAGCTTGCACATGTCAGTATAAATAAGTCTTGATATTTTCGAAAAAGGGAGAGCTAGGGAAGCAAATATATATATTTGAAAGTACAAAAATGCCTTTAGCAAATGATAATGATTTCAATAATATTGCTAGATATATTGTTTGCATAGTCTTATGTTCATTAGTAGTGAACTGTGCCTTCTCTTCTAAAAATTTGACCTTTTTTTATGTGTACAACATGTTTCTAACTTGGTTGCTTGATGAAGGCATGAATCTTTTAAAAAAATAAATTACATATTTTTAAAATGTGAATTGAATTCTTACAATATAATATGAAAATCTAAGATACTATATATCACAGTATACTTACATTAAGAAGTAACTTATTTTCTTTATAATTTAAGATTTTTAATAGTACGATGGTTTTCCTAGTCTACATTTACAGAAATTTATCTGGATGGAGAGCAAATATTGGTTATTTCCACTGGTTTTCATTGCTTGCCATCATGCAAATTTTAACAAGGCACATAAGAAGCATAATAAGTGAAATCCATGATTCTCACCTGGTTTCCTTTAGTATTAAGGACATAGTGAAATAGTGAGTATTAGGTGATAGTATTGCATCAATGTTAATCCAGATTTGAATTAGTGAATTATGATTCAGTAGAACTAAATGTAAACTAATGTATTGTTTATAGGAAATACACACAAAAAATTTTTGGTATAATGGTACATGATGTCAGCAACTTTCTCTCAAAAAATAATTCATTAAGCAAAGCTGTGAACATTAGTTTTCTTGACTGTAAACAACCTACTAAGTTATAGCAACTAACATAACTTAGTGCTGGCATAAAAACAGACATAAAAACAATGAAACATTATAGATATCCCAGAAATGAATACATGTCTTAATGGCCAATTGGTTTCCAATAAAGAACTAAGAAGACATAATTGGAAAAGATTCTATCTTTACTACTTTAACCACTAAATTTTATCAATCTTAGGAGGGGCAAATTGATTGTTAGTGACAGAATAGTCTTCATTTTTAGTAGACTTTTACTCTATGTCAATATTTTTCTCTTAGTGTATATACTATAATTATGGGAATTTCTATGAATAAGGAAGGTACATTATTGATTCTTATGGTGGGTAAATATCTTGTTTTTGTATTATTGTTGCTTATTTCATTACTTGTCAGGATCACCTACTTGTTACTCTTAGTAAGTTTTCTCTATATATAAATATTTGAATTTCTTTCATTGTAGACAACATTTTGGACCATGCCCAGAGAACTGGATTGCTAAACTCAGTTGCTGGGTTACATGTACACTGAATCCACCTCTCCAAAGTTAAAAGTGATGGTTGGATGTGGACAGATGGGCAGAAGCCTATACTTAACCATACACACAATACATCTCTGAAAAGAAGAAGCAAGCTCTACAAATGTCTACACTAGCAACAAAATCTCTCCACTATAAGAACATGCAAACTCCTAGATGGTGCACCCAGAAACACACAGACACACAAACAGCACAACAACAATACAAACATGAGAAGACAAGGCAAAGTAATGCTTTCAATGGTTCCCAATTCACCCAAACTTGTGCTGGGGTATTGAGTGGGAGAAAATGAAAAACGCAGCCAAATTATTCAAAGTGAATACAGCCAAAATTTAAAATATCAGAAATGTGATCAACAAACTTTAAGAAGATAAAATTTACTTATCTGTATATATGTATGTATGTATTTGGTACAGGGTCTCACTACAAAGCTCAGATGCATAGTGATCCTGCTGTTTCAGCCTCCTCAGCATTGGGATTACAGGCTTGCACTGCCATACCCAGTGTCCTTAGCCAGTTTAGCATGCCTGGGGGCAGGGCTGGTTTGGCATGTGGCACCAGGGATCAAACCCTGGTCCCTGTGCTTGCCTAAGCAAGAACTTAGTCTGTTGAACAATCTCACCAGCCCTTTAGCTCATCTATTTAATAAACAAAGCACTCCTAAAATTTACAAAAGTATACTTATAGGGCCCTTGATATAGCTCAGTAGTATAAGCACCTGCCTGGAAAGCTCAAGGTTCTAAGTTTGATCCTAGGCACACACACACACACACACAAAGACACTAATAAAAGATGCTAGACATCATAAGTGGTCAGTTTAGCAAAGATATCACCAAAATTTGGAAAATTAAAAATTCTGTTGAAAACGTGGGCATTACAATGACCATTGTGAGAATATAGCATATGAATTAGAGGATAGGGCTGCTGTCAATGGCAAGTTGCTCAGTGATCCTTGAAAACAAAGAAAAGACATTTTAAAAAATGGATCTATTTTATTACCTGCTATGTGACAAAGGAGGGGGAGGATAGAGACATCAGTGACAGAGTAAAAAACCTAGTGACAGTCCTAAATCAATAAATTGTAAGTTAATTTTTCAATGAGAATTTTGTCAATTCCTCATACAAATGACATGGATTGGCAGAATGGAAAAAGAAATAAAACCCAATAATACGCCCTATACAAGAATCACATTTAGATCCTTCTGTTCATAAGTGTGATGATTTGGTGTTCATGCCTTATGCATGAGATGTGCCTCCCTCAAACCTTGTTACAATGTGGGCACATTACCCATCACACACACACGCACGCACACGCGCACACCCACACACACACACACAAAGAGTCACGTTTAATATAAAACTTTATATACTAAAATTATCAAAGAATTTATAGCAATATCCTATGCAATAGAAACTCAAAAACAAGCAAGTATAACTATGCTATTTTCAAACAAAGTGGAATTCAAAGAAAAACTGATAAGAAGAGGCAAAGAAGGTCACTATACTTACTAGTTAGGAGAACAATTCAGCAGGAAGAAATAGCAATAAGAAACATATATGCACCAGAATCCAATGCGCCCACCTTCATAAAACTAACACTACTGGACTGAATTTTTTAAAAATGTGTAAACATTAATGCAATTATCATAGGAACACAACATTGTACTGTCACATATAGATCAACTAAAGAAAAAAAATCAACAAAGAAACATCAGAGTTAAAATTAACCTCTCAACAAATAGATTTAAGATATAGCTACAGTCTATCCAATAACAGAATGTTCTTCTCAGAAGAACATGGGATTTTCTCCAAAAGAGACAATATGCTAACACATTAAGTTTGCTTCAGTAAATGCTAAAGAATCCAACTTAAATTATGTTATCAGATTATATTCCAATGAAATGAGAAACTAATGAAAAAAATTCAGAGGGATTGTTCAAACACATGGAAATTTACATGTTCATGATGAGGCCTGAATTCATGTCTTGCTGCCAGGTGGCTCTGATTTGAATTTAATCATCTGGTACTACATTTCTAATGACTAGTGTTTTAAGCCATCTAACTGATAGTCATTCATGTGCCTGTGATCGAGGACCTGCCCCTTAGCTCAGTTCTTTAAGTGGCTGCCTCAACAAAGCAGTCAGGCTCAGGCTGCTGTGGTTCGATCCCCACAACTCCAGCCAGCCAAACTTGCCCTGAAGTCATTCGGAGAAAGAAAAAAAAAAAATCCCTCATGTACTTGTGATGAAATGTTAAACAAGACCCTTTTAAATAATTAACAGATGATGAGCAAAGAAATCAGGGAAGAAAAGCAGACAGTTCCTAGGGTCAAAAAATAATGCTGGTATTCCAGGCCAGAATTTAGGGATATAATGGAAGTTCTAAGAGGAAAGTTTTCAGATGTGAATGTTCACATCAGTGAATCGAGATAATCCCATATAATAGCCTTAAGGTGCAGCTCAAGGTCATAGAAATCAATAAAAATACAAATCCAAATTCGGTACAAGGAAGTTCATTACAAATATCAGAGCTAAAAATTAATGAAAGTGCAACTTAAAAATTACAAAGAATTGATGAACCAAAGGGCTGATTCTTTCAAAGAATAAACAGATTTACCTTTGGTCATTCTTACAAAATAAAAGACTTATAATAATGTACACATTTATGCAATTAGAAGTAAAAAAAGACAAGTGCACAATGGAAACACATAAATATGGCAGATTATTTTTTTTGTGAACCTGTATTCAATAACTTAGGGAATGCAGAAGAAATGGATAGATTTTTAGATCCATATAAATTACCAAAACAGAATTGAGAAGATAGAAAAACCCCAGAATAATCCAATAGCTGTCAAAGAAATTGAGTTAGTAAAGATACAAAACTACAAAATAAAAAAATAAAGCCCAAAACCCAGTGGTTTCACTGTTGAGTTTTACAACATCAGAGAAGGTCTACTGATAATACGCCTCAAACCCTTTTGGTATACTCCTTTCCTTATAGTTTCATTAAAGCCATTCTTGGAAGTTAGCATTACCTTGATTCCAAAACCAGAAATGTTGCCAAGCAAAATAGAGATCCAGAAGCCAATCATTACTGAACAGACACAAAAATCCTCAACCACATACTGGGCAAACCTATTCCAACTTATCATTAAGAAGATGACCTAGTATGCTTCAGCCCAGGGATGCAAAGACAGTTCAACTCATACAAACCCTGACAACATAATTCATGACAAGGCAAGAGATAGGAAAAGGAATATTGTGGGACTGTCCTGCTTCAAGGTTGTATATGGTTAGATTTTTGGATTTATGTGTAAACATAAGAAGTATATAATTCTTTATGCCTATTTTTAAAAATATATTCTACTATTTAAATGTTTTTTCATCATATTCTGTAGGGACTTAAAGTTCAACATATCAATACTTAATGAAAAATACCTGCTCCATGTTATGCCTAAGATATTTGATATTCAGACAGATAGTGAAGTTAAGCTTAACAGCCTAGGTTGTATGGTAACAACAGTAAGCTTCTCTTCTGGATGGTTAACAACCTAAGTTTGCAGACCAAAATTAGATGAAAAGGAGTGCTGCAAGGAAAGCCAATGTTTTGGCCCTAGCCTTCCAAGGTCAATTAAGACTCAGGACATATGAGAACTTGTACTGTAACATCATGTAACTCGGTAGTGTCCCAAATTTTCTGATCAAGGAGATTATGGGGACAAAGAGGAAAGTGATCAATGATGTAGACTGTGCCTAAGGAGAGTCACAAGGAGAGAAAACATTCTCTCAGGCTTTCACAGAGAGCACATTGGCCAAGCAATGGCCGTGACTCATGCACATGGTTGACACGGACAAAGGTTCTACAATCTGAGGTACAGGATCTTAGCATAAATCCTGAGGGGATTTCACTGACCTTATCAGACCCAAAAGCTACAACTCTTGTTGCATAGGTCCTGCTTTACCTTGGTCTTAACCATCCAGCAGAAAACTATAAAAACAAAGTATAAGAAGTAAACCATGTTGTTATGTTGAGCTGTAGGGGACTCAGGTCAACAATTTCTGACATTGCCAGTGAAGCAGAAGACCCAATACTATTATGGACTACTGAACTTTTTTACAATATTTTGCTGAGTTTACATAGCTCTAATATTTAAATGATGGAACTTAACAAAAAAAGGAGATACAGATGAATGTCCATTTTGTATCTGTGTATTCAAAGTGGTTAAGATAGATATATAGTTACATTCTCTTAATGAATAGAGGGATTTGTTATAATGGTGTTTGTAAATAGGATATCAAGTCTGCATCTTGTACAGCAATTAACCACTAGGAAGAATGTATGCAATGTGTTAATTATTGAAACTGTCCTACCAGTTTGGTTTGAAGCTGTCTCATTGCTATTTGTTTCTCAATAAAATTATGGGGTAAAAAAGATAATTCATGACAGAAACAAAAACAAGCACAAAAATCCCATGGCCATCTAAATAGACACATAAAAAACATTTGACATGACCCCAATTGCATTCATGATTAAATCCTGAGCAAAATAGGTACTGAAAGACATGATCTCAATTTGATAAAAGCTTTTTCTGACACAGAAAGAACCAACATTTTAGTGAGGGAAAGCCAAAGAGTTTATGTTGGAGGACTGAGGGAACTGTAGACCACGAGCCAACAGCAATGGCAAAGACTAGACCTCCTGTAAAGAAAAGGGGGGAAAGACTTTCCTTTATTTTATATTCTGTTCAGGCTTCAGCCCTCTTGGTCGATACCATACACATCTGTGGTCGGTTTTCCCTCCTGTTTTCATCCTTCATGTCAATTAACCAAGACAAAACCCAGAGACTTACTAATCTGGTACATAGTTTTTATTCAAGTGAAGTTCAGTAATATATCACAGTTGATAATCACTCTATTTTGTTAGGGAAATGGACATTCCTTTATATCAGTATTGACTTTTCTACTTGTAGCTAAGAGCAGTTTTTGACAGTTGACATCAGGCTAGTTAAAATAGCAACTAGTTTCAACCAAAACGACTCTTACAAAATAAAATAATATTATAAACTCTACTGAGGCAAGTATTATGAATAAGAACAGATGATAATTTTCCTCTGACAAAAATTCTTTAGCCAGACTAATGAATAAGCAATGTTTTCATCAGGTCAAGAGTTCAGTCTCTCCAATGAGGGAACATTTTTCAAACAAGATTCACATTCAACATGGCTAAGCATAAAGTTGTATTTAGAAATTTTTTTTCACCATGATGTTGGATGATAATAGAATGGGGATGAAACTGAACAGGCTTTGAACAAGATCCACCCAAAACTTGAAGACAAACTTCTTCAAAGTCATCAGTAATTTATTTATTTTCTTGATAACAGAATAGACATACATCCAGTTAGAAAGTAAAGTCTAGTCACGTAGTCAACATTCTAAAATCTCGAAGTTCCTTTTTTATTTGTGTACTATCTTTCCATTGCTTTTTATGAGTTTTGGGAGATCATTTCAACTTTCTGAGCCTTTGGACTTCCATTCTTGAAGGACCTAGTGATGCTGTTACTGAATATTTGGGTGACTTGTGCAGATAAGAGTGGTGAAGGGCTTTCATGCATTATATATAATACAAGTTCCAATGATGTAAACATTTTAAAAAAATTTACCTCCTTATAAATGGAACTTTTTTCCCAAATATTTTTCAGAGAATTCTATATAATTTATAGATACATTAGCTATATTCTGATAAGCAGTTAAAATTTTTAAGCAAAATAACTTTTTTAACTATAGTAGGACTAGTTATTGAAATAGAAATGCTTTGTAAATGAGGTATCCCTCTAATGAGAGGCAAAAGTTGCTAAAGAATGTTAATTAATGAATTAGAAGTTCCATTAATATGTTTTTATTTGCTTGTGCCTCTCTAACTGCAACAGGATTAGATATGACAGGCTGATTAAATCTCAATACTGTATAGCTAATTCTTAGACCTCAGGAATAGCAGTGGAAGAAAAGCTTAGATGTTCTCAAAGATTTTTGGAGAGCAGTCTAAGGCACAGTAAAACAAAATTTTGGCTGCTGTTCCTTTATACGTGGTCAAAAGGCATGTATCTTATAGTCTATGAATTTGTGGAAATTTTTTTATCAGTGTTGTTAAGCTCCATATTTATAACTTTTCATTTCTTTATACTAAACAGTTACCCAAAAGGATTAAGTTTATTCACTTGTCCTGAATACCTCTCTCACTCTTTACACTGGATTATATGAGATAATGCCTATGCTTGAAAGGAGGGTTGACTAGGCACCAT